AGTTTCTAAAGATAAATATTTAGTTGTATCTAAAAGACAATCTATGTAATTACTTTATTAATTTCAATAGAATTCTGGTATAGGGTTAAGAAATTCCTGACGAAAAATTTTTGATAATGTTTTCACTTCGCTCATTTTTTTCCAAGAACTATTTCGATTGGTTATAAGTAAATTTAGGTATAAATTTATGACTTGGTAAAATCTTCGGAAATACGCGAAAAATAATCCCAAACCCTTTTTAATTGTTTTAAAAGGGAAATGATTAGAATAGAATTGAGAAAGGAAACGGGGAACTTATCAAAGAGACAACAACCCGACCACAGCTGAACAGAAAGCCCATGGCCACTAAATGGAGGTACATTAAAAAGGCAATCTCACTTTTTTTCTTCTTTTTTACTAGTGTGAAATACAGGTTGGTATAATTCCTATTTTTCGAAATATTTGCCTACTTCGTGTCAATTTTCGCTGTATCTGTATTACCTTTAGATAATGATGTTTATTCTTAACATATTGAAAAGAAAGGATGGGAGCAATATGCAAATACAAGACACAATACAATTTCATATGAAACTCATAAATTTCGAAAACATATGCGGTGTGAATCTAAATTTTTCAATAAACTATAGAGCTTCATCTTCACATGTGTATACTGGATCGTTTCCCGTCTTTCTAAAGCAAGTTTAAAAACAATTCATATTGATGAAGATAACACATGTTTTCCAAAAAAAAAAATTCTCTGAAACAGACATTATCAAGATGCTTGATTTCTTGATTGACAACATATTTGTTACGTTTGCAGGGCGTGTTTTTCAACAGACTGGCGGAATTCCAATGGGAACCAATTGTTCCCCTCTTCTTGCCGACTTGTTTCTCTATTATTATGAGGCTGACTTCATACAGGAACTTCTTAGGAAGAAAGATAAGAAGTTAACAATATCCTTTAACTTTACGTTCCGCTATATAGATGATGTTCTCTCACTAAATAATACAAAATTTGGTGACTATGTTGAACGAATCTATCCCATCGAACTAGAGATAAAGGATATTACAGATACAATTAAGTCTGCCTTATATCTTGACTTACATCTAGAAATTGACAATGAGGGTCGGTTGAAAACAAAACTTTACGACAAAAGAGATGATTTCAGCTTCCCAATTGTGAACTTTCCGTTTCTATGTAGCAACATTCCAGCAGCGCCTGCATACGGAGTATATATCTCCCAATTGATACGATATTCCCGGGCTTGTATTTCCTATCATGATTTCCTTGATAGAGGATTGCTGCTCACAAGGAAGCTATTAAACCAAGAGTTCCAAATGGTGAAGTTGAAATCATCCCTTCGTAAATTTTACGGACGCCATCACGAGTTGGTTGACCGTTATGGAATAACCGTTTCACAGATGATATCGGATATGTTCCTTATGTCGTAACTACAATACCCTTCCCTTTTCACGAATGTGACCTACCGAATTAGACTATTTACCGGATTTGTAATAACATAAGCAACACGACGGGTGCCACGTGTGGAGCAGGATCTGCTTACCCTTCCGGAGCACCTGAGATCATCCCCAGTTTTTGGTGGGGTTCGTGTTGCTTAGTCTTTAGTTTTCTATGTTGTATCATCTGTACTATATTATTTGTCTGTTTGTCTTTTTATTTTTGGCCATGGCGTCGTCATGCAGTTTGTTTTCGATCTATGAGTTTGACTGTCCCTCTGGTATCTTTCGTCCCTCTTTCATATAGATTAACCTGCAAAATCGCTAAATAAGTTCAAGAAAAAGCATTATAGGTTTGCTATATATAACTTTTTTTGCAACCATTGTATGAGGGTACTTTTCTTTGAATTTTAGACATTAACAAAACATGTCTATCCAAAATTTTTTGTAATCACATAGCCGGCCGGTAAGCAGAAACTCAACGCAGAGATAAAATCCCGAACCCGGAGGCGGGCTTCAGCTGGCCCCCAAAACAATAATACATATAGTTCAACAAAATGGACGCCACACTAAACTCCGAAACAATAAAATGAATTAAAATTTAAAAAACACACAAGACTAATAAAGGAGAGATGTTCCCGACTTTAGACAGGCCCATAAATGCGACGGGGCCGTAAACATATTTTGTGAGATCTTACTAAACCCTCCCTATACCATTAACCAGTGTGGAATAAACGAACACGCAGCAATAAGCATTTTATACAATGGGTGCAGAAAGGGATAAATTGACGAAGAATTAGAGAATCTATATTTATCGAATACCCAAACCGTGTCAAAACCTATAAATTTGCAGTTTCGAGCGATCTTTAGACGTTTATCATGTGGTTTATAAATGATCTTAAGTAAGTAATTATGTTATTACAAATTAAAAGTACGTACACAGATAAACCCATGAAACTGTGAAGTATATCAAAGATTGGAAATCTTTTAAAATAAACGGAATTCAACGGAAATTGGCCTACCTCTTAGTTTATATATTTGATGATTTTCACGGTGTTCGTTCCAAAGTTATCATCGGCTATTTTAGTATTCGAAAAAATCGTGCTCATGCACATGTTGCGCACTAACTGAAGATGCCTTGAAGTGACAAACTCCAAACTAGGCCAAAAAAGAGACTATATAAACTTGTTTTATAGGTCCCAAGACTACAATTACACTGTCTTGTAATAGCCTAAGGATGGTCTTAGGACCTGAATCATGAATTTTGACGATTTTTCGACTTTGTAGCATCTGTGTTTATATGATAGTTTAAGTTTCCACTTTTAGCTCATCTGAAGATTTTTAATACATAGGAAACATATTTACGGAAAAAATGACAAATTAAAAGAATACCTTGAAAAATAACGGATTTTGGAAAAAAAAGTGGGGAGGGCTTGAAAAATTGTCCTGTCACAAAGTACCTATGATAAAAACAGCAAATGAAAATATCAAACCGTGACAACTTAACATGGAAAATACCCCCCCCCCCCCCCCCCCCCCGAGGTCATATGTTATAGGACTAAGAAGAGGCAGGGCACAATAAACGATATCATGCACTCATGTTCAGCAGTTCAAGTAAACATGGATAATTTCCCGCTAAAAAGTATAACAGTGTTACCTCCCATTTAGTGGGCGTGTTTAATTTAAGCATGTTCGTTGTTTACAATAAGTAATCATATCCAAAACAACTGGGTCAGGCAGCTGTTGAAACATGGCATATCACAAAATACCTGCACAGTTTTTGTGCCTTTTACGTAAGTATCAATACTTTGAAAACGTTCGCTAAATGCATTATATAGTACGTTTGTTATTGCGCATGTCGTGTAACATGTGTAATTAAGAAGTATTTGATGAAATGATAGAGAAATATAAAGATACAAACGAAATTATAGTATGTGGAGACATGAACGGGTCACTCCATAGAAGCTCTACACCTCATGATAAAATTCTACAAACTTTCTGCAAGGAAAAATGTATAGGAAATACTGAGAAATGCCCATTAAAAGAAACATTTTATCAGCAGAATGGTAAATCGAAAGGACAAATTGATTACTTCCTCTTCAAAAGTAACTCGGAAATAATAAATAAAATCAGACAAATTGATGTCCTTGACACTGACCCAGAGAATACCTTGTACCATGTACCTGTTATTCTGACACTGAATAGCCAACTGAAAAAAGTAAGGGAAAAAGCAACAACTATCATAGCAAAACCTAAATGGACTGACTGTGACCATCAAATTTATAAGGAAATCATCAATAAAGATCTACCAAACCTCATGCAAAAATCAAAAGGAATCATTGAGCAAGATATAAGAAATCTAGAAAAATTGCTACATAAAGCCGGAGAAGCGGCAATCCCAAAGTATAGAAGAAAAATCAAAATCAAATCAAAGGGAAAGGCGATATGGAATGAACAAATAGAAAAGGCATCAAAGCAATAAAAAAATGCATATAAAGTATGGAGGCAACATGGAGCACCTCAAGAAAGAAGTAACGAGCTCAAATTATCAAAATGACAGCTGCAAAAAGAATACTTCGAAAAGCACAAAGACAAGCTTATGCCTCTCAGAGAGAATCAACAGCGGGAAAAATTATGAAAGCTTCAAATGCAGACACAAAACTTTTTTACAAGCTTATTAACATGCAAAGAAAAACACCACTTACTAACACCAAGATACTGAAACTGAATGAAAAGACTGCAGAAGATGGACCAAGCATAATGAACATTTGGCAAGAACATTTCCAACAACTAGCTACGCCAACATTAGAAGAAAATTTCGACACTGAAAAGCTAGAGCTTGTAGAAATACAAAACAATATAATAGAATCCATAGAAAGGGAAAAAGGTCAAGGCATTGATCATGTCAATGTAAAGGAGGTTGATAAAGCTATAGAAAAACTTAAAGCAGGAAAAGCACCAGATGAGGATGGAATTTCGGCAGAACACTACAAATATGGGATGGATGAGTTAACTCCCTTTATAGTACATTTGCTAAATTTAATTTTAACATATCTGGATGTACCAATCTTCCTAAAGACAGGGATTCTTACACCAATCCTAAAGAAAGAAAAAGACAAAACATTACCATCTAGCTATAGAGGAATAACTGTGACTAAAACCTTTGCAAAAATATTACAAAGTATACTGAAGGATAGAGTTGACTCTGTATTTAATAACATACAAAACTCCTTGCAAAGAGGCTTTACAGAAGGAGTATCATCACTATGCGCAGCTTTCCTCACATCAGAAGCAATCGAAGAAAGTAAGAAATTAAAGATACTGATGATTTTAATAACTCTTGATGCAGAAAAAGCATTTGACAAACTAAACCATGAAATACTATTCAACAAGTTGTACCATTATGGAATAAAAGGAAAACTCTGGATACTACTGAGAAACATGTATAAAGGCATGAGCATTAAGGTCAAATGGGAAGGTCAATGTACAGAAGATGTAATGGTGTTACAAGGAATTCAACAAGGTGCAAAACTATCTACAACGCTATATAAATGCTACAATAACGTCATACTGGATAGCATTTTAAAAAGTGGACTTGGAGCATGTATTGGTAATATACAAGTCCCTGCACCCACATGTGCCGATGACATTGCTGTCCTGGCAAATAGTACTGCAGACGCACAAGGAATATTAGACATAGTACAGCACCATACAAGCAGAGATCTAGTTAAAATCAATCCAACTAAATCTGAAGCGGTTTTATATAATGCAAAAGGCTCAAACATAACAACACTGCAATTTGAAGACAATGACATCAATATAACCAATGAAACCAAACATCTAGGTATCAAAAGAAACGAGCAAAACCGGGCAAATATCTCTGAAAGAATAAGAACCGGCAGGGCAACAATATACAGCCTTCTCGGAGCCGGTTTACATGTCAGAAGGGGATTCTCACCCATGGTCGCATACAAGCTATGGAGAACATATGCAGTACCAAGAAGCATCTACGGACTTGAGGTGATGAACTTACTTGCAAAAGAAAAGGATATGCTAGAACTGGCAGAGAGAAAAATCCTCCGACAAATTCAAGGGCTTCCAAATAATACAGCAAATATGGCTGTCTATACCCTGGTAGGAGCAGAACCTATTGCCATCACATTAGACAAAAATCTACTTACCTTCTTCATGAATATTGTTCGAAATTCAGGAACCATAGAATGTGAAATTCTGCGTCGACAAATAGCATTCTCAGACCAAAGAGGAAAAGACTTTATCAACAGAGTGGAAAAAACTCTATCAAAATACAATTTGAAATCTAGTAGTTACTACATAGAAAAACCACTTAAGAAAATCGAATGGAAAAGACTAGTAGGAATAAAGATCAAGGAATACTGGAAAAATGAATGTCACTATGAAAAAATGGAAAAAACATCACTTAAATACATAGAGATACAGAACAATCCATTAAATGAAGCACACAATATATGGAAAAGCATAAAAAACAATAGTAAAGATGTAAAGGCAGGAGAAATAAAAGCAAGAATAAGTACTCAAACGTACATATTACAAGCCAAAAGAGCTAACTTCGATCCGACAGTTAACCCGATATGTACAATCTGTGAACAGGAAAATGAAGATCTGGAACATTTTATTCTACGCTGCAAAGAATTGGGGCAAATAAGATCCAAATATTGCTCAAAAATAAAACAGACAATGGATGAAATCGATACCTCAACATACAAGAAGATCATACAAGAAGGGAATTTACTGCAGCTCATAATGGACTGTACTAGCAAGGACATAAACTGTTACTCAACTGTGTATGAAAACATTGAAACTCTGGCTAGAAATATGTGCTACGAGATGCACATGCTGCGCACAAAAAGGATTAAAAACTTGAACACAAGTACAGTATAAGTAAACTTTTTTAAAATAAAATAGTTCCCTACTTTACCATCTTACTATTTTATGATGTATTAGGACCTAAATTAAATAAAAAAATTTTGCAAAATTTTAAGATATCCAGTTACCTTAAAGAATAATGATAAGATCCGAAATAAGGTAACTTTAAACTGTGAAGGTAAACTTATGTATATATGATGAATTGTTCTAAACCCCAACCCTTTTACATAACGGTAAGTCCTATAAAATAACCTTCTCATTATAAATTCTGATGTACGTATAGCACCTTTAACTAACAATTATAAGAAAGTTTAATTTAAGACCACTTAAATTCTAAATTCTTATTTGTAAATATATCCAGTTCTTACTTAACTTATTCTTACACTTCAGCACATTATGAATATTATTTTTAAAATTTTATGATGACAATCCTATGAATTAGTTATAATATTAATTTTTAGTAATTATTATTGCCTAAATTCAGTCATCTGTACATAATTAAATGCTTCCTTATGTTCTAAGGTGTATATAGTTGCTACAATTATACCCTATGGGTAGTGCTCTACAATTAATGGAGGAATATACAAGAAACTGAACTGAGTATATAACATATAATTTAGATAACGGTTTACAAATATTGTTATCCAGAAATCAGAGCAGTTAATTTTCTACATGTTTACCTGACTGATTTCTTTCTATATTTAATTATACAAATGTATGTCTACGAATGTCTGTCTGAATTCAGACATTTTATCACTTGAAAAAAATAGTCATATGTGCAAGTCTTTAAACACCCCCTTATTTGCACATATTCTCACTGCTAAGCAACTGTCTCTTTAGTGGGATACAAATCCTCCAAAACAATCAATTCATTAAATTAAGTCTTTATCAAATTTTTGCACATTCAACCCAGAAACAAATCATTCAATTCTTTTGTAAAATGAAATTTAAATTAGAATTTATTAGTTTCCAATAATCATAGATATGTGATTGTCATGGCAAAAGTCTCATACTGCAGATGTACCAAGACAGTTCTTGATTAATATATATCACTTAATATAAACTGTCAGTCATTATTATATATTCAACTTATCTGCAGAAACCTGCAGATTTATGAGCTTTTCAGCCACCACCTTGGTCAATTTTGAAGACATTTAATTTAGTATCTAAAGCATCAAAAATAATCAAACCATTTCATGGTTTCTTTTTTTTTTGCAATAAAGTAGCTATACACCATTCATTGAAGAACAATAATTGTTTTTATACAAGAGTTCTTATTAGTCATAGGATTTTATTATCTACAGAATATTTGTGATTCTTTCAGCTTGTATCACTTTAAACTTTAGTACACATGTACTAGTATTAGTCCTTGAATGTTATATTATTAAATTAAACATGACCAACCATGCAATTAGTGTATATGAGGTTATGGATGGGAATTTTTCATTTCTGTTTTCTTTAATTTTTTAGCCCATTTTCTCCATTCTTTATATTTTTGACCCATTATTCTCTATTCTTTATATTTTATCACCCCGTTATTCAAATTATATGCAGAAACCTGCAGATTTATGAGCTTTACAGCCACCACCTTGGGATTAATTTTTGTGGTTTCCAATATGTGAGAGAACTATTCTTAATAATGGTTATTTTAGGTCAAATACTACATATAGATATCTACATGTGTTTATAACTTCATAGTGACCTATATATATAACAAGTGACTTTTTACTGTGTCCAGATTATATTTACCTGGTCATTTATCAATAAAATTAACATAATTATGAAAGTCTTGAATAAGTTTACTATGAAGTTTGCATTTTCAGGGGCCAAATAATGGCTCTTATTAAAAGCTCTCCCTTTGTAGTTGTAAAATTTTGAAATCATTGTGGCTCTGATTCCTTGACCAGTTTTTTCATATAGGTGTACCATTTGATTTATCAGCTCTTCAAAGTTTGTATTTTAAATATTTTGGCTTTAAGCTCTGAAGAGATATTTTAATGTTGAAATGCACATCTGGTGCACAGGCACTTGGGTATAATGATACAGATATTTTTTTGGGATTTTTTTGTTGTTGATTAAAATGTTCAATTTTCTATATTTATACTACATGATCTATCACTACTGCGCATGTCTCACCTAGTTTCGAGTGATTTTACCAACTCTTGAGACAACCCCATTTTTACTATCCACACTAAGAAACATTTGGTGTGCAGTAAAGTTGGTACCATTTATGTTGTTACTACAATTTAGTGCTATTATGTCAGAAAAAAAAAACTTTTCCCACAGTAAAGTTCAACCCTTACCTTAAGATATTGAAAAACTATTGAATTAATTAAAAATACTGTATTAGAATATTAATTTCATACACTTGTATCATAAAAACATTTTATTTAATTTATTTATTTCATTTAATAAACAAGTACATTCTGAACAATTTTCATCCTGGTCTGATGACTGTGTAAACCAACCTCTTAGGCATATTATCAGTGCTTGGCAATTTTGGTCAATTTTGATGACATTTAATTTAGTATCTAAAGCATAAAAAATAATCAAACCATTTCATGGTTTCTTTTTTTTTGCAATAAAGTAGCTATACACCATTCATTGAAGAACAATAATTGTTTTTATACAAGAGTTCTTATTAGTCATAGGATTTTATTATCTACAGAATATTTGTGATTCTTTCAGCTTGTATCACTTTAAACTTTAGTACACATGTACTAGTATTAGTCCTTGAATGTTATATTATTAAATTAAACATGACCAACCATGCAATTAGTGTTTATAAGGTTATGGATGGGAATTTTTCATTTCTGTTTTCTTTAATTTTTTAGCCCATTTTCTCCATTCTTTATATTTTTGACCCATTATTCTCTATTCTTTATATTTTATCACCCCGTTATTCAAATTATATGCGGAAACCTGCAGATTTATGAGCTTTACAGCCACCACCTTGGGATTAATTTTTGTGGTTTCCAATATGTGAGAGAACTATTCTTAATAATGGTTGTTTTAGGTCAAATACTACATATAGATATCTACATGTGTTTATAACTTCATAGTGACCTATATATATAACAAGTGACTTTTTACTGTGTCCAGATTATATTTACCTGGTCATTTATCAATAAAATTAACATAATTATGAAAGTCTTGAATAAGTTTACTATGAAGTTTGCATTTTCAGGGGCCAAATAATGGCTCTTATTAAAAGCTCTCCCTTTGTAGTTGTAAAATTTTGAAATCATTGTGGCTCTGATTCCTTGACCAGTTTTTTCATATAGGTGTACCATTTGATTTATCAGCTCTTCAAAGTTTGTATTTTAAATATTTTGGCCTTAAGCACTGAAGAGATATTTTAATGTTGAAATGCACATCTGGTGCACAGGCACTTGGGTATAATGATACAGATATTTTTGGGGGATTTTTTTGTTGTTGATTAAAATATTCAATTTTCTATATTTATACTACATGATCTATCACTACTGCGCATGTCTCACCTAGTTTCGAGTGATTTTACCAACTCTTGAGACAACCCCCATTTTTACTATCCACACTAAGAAACATTTGGTGTGCAGTAAAGTTGGTACCATTTATGTTGTTACTACAAAGTGCTATTATTCAGAAAAAAAAAACTTTTCCCACAGTAAAGTTCAACCCTTACCTTAAGATATTGAAAAACTATTGAATTAATTAAAAATACTGTATTAGAATATTAATTTCATACACTTGTATCATAAAAACATTTTATTTAATTTATTTGTTTCATTTAATAAACAAGTACATTCTGAACAATTTTCATCCTGGTCTGATGACTGTGTAAACCAACCTCTTAGGCATATTATCAGTGCTTGGCAATTTTGGTCAATTTTGATGAAATTAAATTTAGTATCTAAAGCATAAAAAATAATCAAACCATTTCATGGTTTCTTTTTTTTTTGCAATAAAGTAGCTATACACCATTCGTTGAAGAACAATAATTGTTTTTATACAAGAGTTCTTATTAATCATAGGATTTTATTATCTACAGAATATTTGTGATTCTTTCAGCTTGTATCAATTTAAACTTTAGTACACATGTACTAGTATTAGTCCTTGAATGTTATATTATTAAATTAAACATGACCAACCATGAAATTAGTGTTTATGAGGTTATGGATGGGGATTTTTCATTTCAGTTTTCTTTAATTTTTTAGCCCATTTTCTCCATTCTATATATTTTTGACCCATTATTCTCTATTCTTTATATTTTATCACCCCGTTATTCTCTATTCTTTATTTTTTTGGTCCATTTTTCTCCATTCTTTTATGTTTTGGCCCATTATTCTTTATTCTGTAAACCCCATCCAGACCCTCATTTATTGATACGTTCTGTATTATTTGCGTTGAATTTCCCTTGAATTTAACATACATTTTCATGTAAATTCTATTGAATATGTGAAGGTTTATGAAAAATTCTTTTTTATTAAATTAACCTCAATAAAGATAATCAAAATATAGTGTGAGTAATCCCGTCCTGTTTTGTACTGATAAAATATTTAATTTCATAAACTATTGAATTTCAATATTTGATTGAAATATATATTTCAGAAGTATCAAGATCAATTTCCACACGAGATGTTTCAGATGTGACAAAAATTGTTAAAATTTGAATATTTGAAATTTTCCATTTAGTTCTTGAGTGATAAGAATTATTAAAGTTTCATGCAAATTAAGTGAATATGACCAGATTTCTGTTTAAAATCCTATTAAGAACAGACTTGTGTATCCTGAACATTTTTAATTTTAGAAGATCTTAAAACCGACTTATTTTATGAAAAAATCCTTTAAAATTATTTTAACAAAAATTATCTTTTAAGGAGATTAAAAATGATTTTTAATCTTTTTAATTTTTTTGTTTAAAAAAAGATTAATATGCAAATAGTATTACAATCTTATTGAAATACAGACCCTATATCCAGGTTTAGTTTACAAGGATCTGACCAAGCTCTATTCTACTTTCTG